GGGAATATTGTCGTTGCTCTGGGCCAAACTCCCTGCCCAGAGAGAAACACAGGGGTACCAGTGGCTGCCTGCCTTTCCTGCTAACAAACCCCCTGTTGGTACTTGAGCTCAGCCTCACGACCAGAAGTTTCTCCATCTCTCTTGAGGTGCAAAAGAGGACAGAAGATCTCTTGGTTTGCTGCAGCTCCACCAGGTGCCCCTTGAATTGAAATCCCCACAGCTATTCCACACGTCATCCCACGATCCCGTCTGGTGACAGAGAACCAGAGCTTAAGGAAGGGTAGACACTTAGGAGAGATCAACATCAGGCTGCAAGGGGAATCCACTCTGCTCTGACAGGGAACCCAAAGCTCTTTTCCTGGTTGAGGGGGGCAGGACCCTCACGATATCCTAGTCAGGCACAGGGAATGGTTTCCCCAGGGATGCCCTGTATCCTTCCTGTAGAGAGAGATCATGGAAGCCTAGCATGGCCAGCTGCACCTTGGCAGGGAACCTGCCGGCAGGCAGTCTGTGTCTTTAGGGACAAGGTATTCCCTGCTATGATGATGGTGACAATATAACAATAATTTCCAGAGTGTTAATAACATGCCAGGCAAGATGCCAGATCCTTTGGGCACCCTATATGGAGTCTCTACAAGAATATTTCCTCCAGGTAGATGGTTCACTTTGTACAGAAGAGGATCAGGAGGTGCCAGAGCTGTGTGTCCCTAAACCTGGCGTATGTGCTGGAGAGAGCTGAATGACACCAATCACATGCTCCAAAGCAGATCCTCACAGCCTGCTTCCCCTACTTGAGAAAAATCCGGCAAACAAATAGGGCCACACCAGCCTGGAGCCTGGGGAATAAAGGGTGAGCCAGGAGTCGCTGTGAATAATGCCTCCGTTCAGCAGCAGGGAGGCCTTCGCCTACCCTCCCGCCCACAGCCAAGGTGCTGGGGTTAAATGGAGAGATGCCTTTCAATGGGTCCTGGCCCCAGGGAGACAGAACACCCTGGAGGCAAAGTCTTGTCTCCTTTTCTAAAGCAGGCTGGTCTAGGACAGATCCTCTATCCCAGGCTCTGGGCAGTGGTGTTGGTAGCCCTGAATGAGTCCTGCGAGGGTCCCTGCCGGGCTAGGTATCTGCTGGGAAGGGGATGCTGCCTAGGCCTATAGGAGGTCTCCAAGCTGGGAGCAGCAGCAGCAGCCAGAAAAGGCCCCAGCCTGGCTTTGTTCCTCCAGTGCCCACAGCCACACCAGCACACTGCGGGCTCCTCTGGGCTCCGGTGCGGGATGAGCCTCCCAGGAAGGCCTTTGTGGGTATAAACACTTCTGAGGAAAGGAATGTGCTGGGAAGAGCACGGTTGGGCCGCTGCAGCCACAGCCAGCTGAGGAAAAATTTTTAAAAACCACCCTAGAGGGGCTGGGGATTTAGCTCAGCGGCATAAGTGCCTGCCTTGCAAGCAGCGGGTCGTGAGTTCGATCCCCGGTACCGATAAAAAAGAAAAAGACAAAAAAAAAAAAAAAAAAAAAAAAAAAAAAAAAAAAAACCACCCTAGAACTCAGAAGGCTTTTTGTGAAACTCCCTTCCAGTCTCAACACCCTCTTCCACCACGGTGGTGGCGTCCTACCTGGGCAGGGGAGTCCAAGGACCCCGGGCGGGCTCAGTGGATCTTGGGTAGTGGAAGCTGCCTGCTGCTGGGCACCCAGGGCTGGCCGGGTGGCAGAAAGGAGCCACCAGCCTCGGACACCCAGGCAGAAGCCCACGTCCCAGGCACACGTACAAAGGCTGCTGCTCGCACCGCCACCGTCCCCCCCTCAGCTGCAGGTCGCTAGACCTGGGAGCTGCATTACAAGCGATTAGACTCCATTTTGTGACAGATTTTTGGACTCTCCCACCAGCCCTCCTCCCTTCCGGAGGCTCCTCTAGGAATCACCACCTCCTTAGGATAGAAACCCTTTCCAAACAGCAACAGACAGCAAGAAAAGAGAGTTACATAATTCGATCTGGCCAAACCACCCAGAAAACAAATTGGGGAGGGGATGTTGTCATTTTTGTTTTGTTTTGTTTCCTGGTCCTGTGGTGGGGGATGCACCGAGGTTCCCAATTTTTGCAAAGGCCGTGTTTCCTCCTTGTTTCTAACCGGGTTTTCACTCCGAAAGGGACAGAGGCAGTGGCTGTTTTTGGTTTTGTTTTTTATAAGGAACCCTTCCCCTGCTCCTCACCCCCTCCCAAAAAAAAAAAACCACTATGCAGGGAGGAGACTTTTCGAATTACAAGTGAAAAATGCCTAAACTCATGACCCGCGATCTGTTTTGCTCAACTAAGAAAAGAAGGGTGGATTTTATCTAATGCTACTAAATGTATCCCAATATCAACTAATCACCCCCGTGGTGCGTAAAATAACTACACATCTGGGTGCCTGAATCTTTGAGAACAAATCGAAAGGAAGAAGAGACACTAAAAATGGCAACCTTTAAGGAAAGACCCTGTGCTCCTTCAGCTGGGACACAATTTTTTTCTCAAAAGTTGGGGAGGGTCGGCAGTTTCCTAGTGTTGCTGACACACAGACTATACAGACTCTAGAAGGCACGTTTCTGTGCTCACTTGCCTCTATTCTCGGCTGAAAAGCATTTGCACACGGATGAAGTAACACGCATGTGCGATTCTCAAAGGAAAAAAAAAGAAATCATGAATAAAAAAATTCTTATTGTGTAAAAAACATTTGCTTCCCAGGGAGCTCTTGCCAGCCTGGCTTTGCTAGCTCTCCCCATGAAATAGTGCCTGGGACTGCTGGGGGATTTGTCCCCCAAAATTGTCTAGGTTACCCCCACCCTACCACACTGCCCAGCATTCCCGAGGGCCAGACTACTGAAGATACCTAATTGGCTTTACTGGAAGAAAAAGAGGATGAGGGAGGAGGAGGAGACTGGAGCAGAGAGAATAATGCCGCCCTCTTCTTCCCCCGGGGTTCAGCCCTATGGGATCCAGACTCTTAATCGACAGGACCTGAGATTCACTGTACGACAAAATGTATTCCTAACACACAGGTTTGCGCAGAGACAGCAGGCTCTTGGCCGACTTTTTCTTTTCTTTTAAAAACAAATATACATTGGATAAAGCAGTTGCAAATGTTGAACTGTTTTGTAAAATGGGGTGTGGGGGGTGGTCGGTCCTTCATCTCTAAGGCAACACCCAGCTCAAATGTTGAGACTTGCCTGCAGGACGGGGAGGCAGGCTTGAGTCCTTTTAAAGAGAAGCCCTTACACTCATTAGGCAGTAAATATGTACAAGACTGGACTGAGTATTTTGGACAAAAAGGAAATAAAACTACACAAATATTTCAGTTTCTAGTTTCCCCTACTTCTTGGCCCCACATGTTGAGTTGCTGAAGCCAGTGGCTGAGCTAGGTGATAAGTGGCACTGCCAGAGCACAGGGTCAGGCAGGCACAACAGGGCCCATGAATGGGGTATGGATGGGCTACAGGCTGGTGTACCCCATCACTTGCTACCCGAGTCTGCCCAAAGCCCACAACTACACCACTCTATTTTATTTGTGCTGCTCTATGTTCCGCTGCAAGTAAACTGACTGGTGACCTCTCCATCTCCCAGAATTAGAATCATACCGTTCCAGAACACCATTTCGTATAATGGGAGAGGCCTCCGTCAGCTATGTCCCAGGACCAGCAAAAGAGCTGATCCTCTGAATGGCCACCAATTCCTACCCACAGAGTCCCCAACCAACAGAAGAGCAAGGCGCTAAGAACAGCTCCTGCCCTTCCCTACATCAGGGGGACACAGCCAGATCCTTTAAGGGTAGCACCTGATGCCTTCTCTAGGGCTCTGGCCTGCAATCGCAGCCCCACAGTCTCAGCCAAGCAGGTTGTTGGGCTTCTCTACTGCCCCCCAGACCCCGGATTTGGGGATACTCCTTGGGCACAGCAGGGAAGCTGCACTCATCACGCACCACCAGCAACCCAGCCTTTTCTTGGAGGTGAGAGTGCACAAGCTCCCCTCTCGCCCCAAATCACCCAGCCATCTCCCTGTCCTGCAACATCCTATCCAGGACGATTTCTTGGGAATCACTAAAAAGTTCTCATAGGCACCCAGCTGTCTCTACAATGCCACTTTGGGGGATCCCCACACCCCTCTTGTGGCTGTTTCTTCTCACTGCCTTCCTCCCAATTGCACTGCCAGGCACAAAACCCATCAGGTCAAAAGAAAAAGCCTACATCTATTCTCATCTGTCCCAGACTTCTTGCCATTCAAATCCACAGGCACAGCTAAACACATAAGTCAGTAGGTAAGGCTTAACCTGTGGTCAGAGCGGAGGATCCCTCTCCGACACACACTGCAAGAAAGGAGGTGGTCCCGAAGGGCCAACTAGCTCTGTTTTGTACCTTCATTGTGAGTTCTGGACTGCAACTGGACATTTTTTTTCTGGATATTTTAAGATCCTCTTCCTAGACTGCTTCTCCAGCCCAGAAAATTTGTCACTGCAGAATTCCCGTGTGGAACGGTTTGGGGAATATGGGCACTCATTTCTTTCCATCGGGGACTAAAAGTGCAGAAGGGAATCTGCGGAATGGGGGCTCCTAATTGCTAAGGCAGGTCAGTGCCCAGGACAGGACTTTTCTCCCCCAGGAAACCCAAACTCTTGGGCTGGGAAAGAACACACCAGGTTTGGCTCTCTAAGACACTATTTGCCTTTGAAAATCAATTCTTGGTTTCTATTCAGACCTCTGTGGGGTCAAATCTGGACCTCAGGACAGTTGGCCTAGGGCCTTATCTTGTACCCCAACTCAGTAGTCCAGCGCAGGTTTCCCCAGCCTACAATGATACCCAGGGATCAGCGTTGGCCGGATGGGATAGTCTGCCCCAGCCCTGCAACACGCAGCCTGCAGAGCCCTAGGAGTATCGGGGCCCAGAGGAACAGAGCGGTGCACCGGGGAGGGCCCGCCCGGTAGGGGGCTGACCGGGCTCAAGTGCTGAGCAGCGGGGAAGGAGCAGGAGAGGCGCTTACTGTTGGTAGTCTTGTTTGCAGTACAGTTTCCGATCCCGGAAGTAGCAGCTGGTGGTGAGGGCTTGCTGACACGCCGCGCACTGCAAACACTCCTCGTGCCAGGACGACTCGTTGACTCGCATCAGGAAGCGGTCGGAGATCGGCCGCTGGCAGCCCTCGCAGACGGCGGGATGCGGACAGTCCGAGCCTGCTGCGCACAGGGCGAGAGCCAGCCGTCAGCGCCGCCCGGCCCAGCCCCAGCGTTCCGGGGCGCGCGGTGCCCGCAATCCTTGGCCTCGAAGGCGAGGATGGCCCAGAAGCGCCGCCCGCTGCCTGTGCTCCCCTCCCCTCCCGGCCGCGGCAGGGCCCCAGGCAGCCCTAGCCAGTACGCCCCGGGCTTCGGGCTCCCGCGCCGACTGCCGCGGCCCTGGAGCCTTGGCTAGGCGCTGCGCTGAGCCCCTTTCCCGGGATTCAGCGCTTGTTGTTAAGCTGCAGCTTAGAGCGGCGGGCTAGGACCCAGACAGGCGAGGTGAGGTTGGGGCATTCGCTGGGTGACTCGCCCCGCGACAGCGATCGCAGTCTTCTGTCCCCAATTCCACCCCCATTAAAAAACAAAAACAAAAAAACCCCAAAACAACAACAACAAAAAACTGGTCTGCATGGCCCAGGGGTCATTTTTCTCTCAGACAGCCTCCTACCACCACCGCCTCCTAGGTGACCAGGCATCTTTCCCAGGCCAGCGAAGGTGACTACTTGGGTTTCCTATCACCTTGCCACCCACTTCCTTTCCTTGCCCGGAGCAGCAGCTCCAGCACCTAGGCCGGGCGAGGCTAGCGGTTGGCGGCTGGAGCTCTCCCGTCCTCTCTCATCCTAAGGCATGTCCACGCACAGCTCGTCCCCTCAGGGAGACCGCTCAGGCGTGCTTGTTGCCCCCATGCTGATCACTCCAGGAGTCCTGTCCCTGTCCCCTCCTCCCCGTGCGCTGCAAACCCATTTCCTTTATCCGTTGGCTTCAGTGCCTGTGTCCACTGCGAGACGACGCCCCTTTCCCTGCCAGTGCCCACTTGAGCGTTGGACACCGCACTCACCCAGCAGTACCCCCAGAGTGGCGGGCCCGGGGCGCAGGGGGTGCTCCTCCATCTTGATGCCATCCAACATCTTGGCGCAGTCCGTCTGCCCGCGGGGGAAGCACCTCTCCAGCGACTCGGGACCTGTTGCTATATCCATGGGACGCAGGGCACGCTGCGGACCCAGCCGACCGGGCCGCTTGCCCACCCGCCCGTGCGCCGCTCGCCGCCGCAGCCCTGGAGCCGGGGAGGCGCGGCCCCCGCGGGGCTGGGGTTGCGGCCGGGGCCGCCGGCTGCCCCCGGCGATCGTGGAGTGGCGGCGCGCTGGCCCCAGGCCCCTGATCCTGCGGGCGGGCCGGGGCGGCTGCAGCCCGCGCCGCGCTCTCCCGGGCGATCGCAGCCACGCGCGCTGGTTCCTCTGTCACCTGCTTGTCAGCCCCGGAGCCCGGCTGCAGCGGCGGTGGCGGCAGACGGAGCCGCGGGGAGGAGGCAGCAGCCGGGGCGACGACGGCGGCAGCGGGGGAGGGGGCGGGGTGCAGGGGCGGCCCCGCCGTCCGGGGGGGCGCGAGCCGCGCAGCGGGGTCCCGGGCGGGGCGCAGCGGGCCGCGGGGCTCCGGGCGCGCTCCCCGCGCTACTCCAGTGCCATGGTGCGCCCGAGGAGCCGCTCGGTTTAGAGCCGGGGCTGGCGGCGGAGGGATACTCCGGCGGGAGCCGCCTCACCCCTCCTCAAACTTCCTGACATTTGAACTCATTGGTGCGCCTCGTATCCCTGCGCCGGGATGAGCCGGCTGCTCCACGTCAAATAGTGCGGCCGCCGCCCCCTCCCCCGCGGGAGGGCTCCCTGCGCCCCCGGCCTGCGCCCCGCGCGGCCCCTGGCCCGGAGCTCGGGCCCCGGCCCCCCGGCCCGCCCGGCCGCCCCGCCGGCCTCTCGCCGAAGTTTGGGTCGCCTTCGAAAGCAGTTCTCTGCCCCACCCCCTTGAAAAATTGGTCTGGGAGTTAGGGAATGAAGGCTTTCTTGTTTCTTTCTCGCCGTCTTTATTACTAATATTTTGTAAAGCTCCGGCGCTCAGAGCAGTAGCCCCGAGTGCGGCCGGATTGCGCGGACAGCGGGACGCGCAGCGGGTCCTCCAGGCGCCGGCGCCGGCCGGGGCGGTCGCCCGGGCAGGTCCCCGAGGGTCGGCCCAGGTAGGTGGTGGGGTAGCGCCGCCGGTGACCCCGTCCAGACCCCACCCGGCCCGGGCCGCAGGAGGGACCAGCTGTGGGGACCGGGACCTGCAAACACAAGGGGACACTGACTGCGAGTCGCAGCCTCGCCAGGGTGCACTGGACCCGGGCTCGGACTCGGACTCGGGGTAGCATGGGGGACTTTGGGCCCGGTACAATCGGGTGGAAGAGTGAACTGAAGTGGGCCTGGGGCCCGGGTCGGGCTGGGGACCGTTGGGTAGGTGAGGCAGTCAGGCCGACGGCAGTAAAGAGGGTGGTTAAGGCTGGGGAAGGGGACTCGGGCAGGGATGGGGACAGCGGGTGGCAGTCTGGTGTTCTCGGGTTTGGAAACTGAGGCTCGGGTAAGGAGCGATGGCCCCGCGGTTTAGGTATAAAGGCTTGGGAAGATGTGCGTTCGGCTGCCCCACGGAAATCCGGTTTGACCCTGGATAGACGCCTGTGGTTTGACCCTGGGTAGGTGGCCGAGGAATACGACCGAGATTCTGTAGGCTAAGCGGGTCGGTACTAGTGCCCTGGCTAGCCTGGGCCAAGTAGCCCTGGACACTGCGGAGCCAAAGGCCTGCAGGACTGAGCTGGCAACTGCCGCGCCCGTCGGGCCTGGCACCCATGAGGGGCGTCTATAGACCACCGAGCCAGGGCTCAGGGCGCTGCGTCCAGGCTGCGGCCCCCTGGGTCTCCAGCAGTCCTCTGGCCGTCCGGGCACAGAAGGGCCGATGCGGCCCCGAGCGGCGCAGGCTGCCCCCAGGAGCTGCTGCGAGGCGGTCCGGCCCCTCCCGGAGCGGAGCAGCGGCGCGGAGCGGGGCGGGGGCGGAGGGCATGGGGGCGGGTCCCCTGACCCCGCCGGAGGCGAGAGGGCGGATCGGATTTGGAGCCTGCGGGAGGCTTGGTCAGAAGTGGCCCCCTGTGCCGCGGGGCCCCGCGGAGGGGCCCAGCTTTGTGGAGGATTAGAGGCTCCCGCCCCACCCCACTACCTTCGAGTGTGTCGGTGGGTATCTGTGTGTGTCTGTGCGTGTCGGCGCTCCCGCCTCTGGGGCTCTAGCGAACGTGTGTACCCGTGTCTCTGTGCACACACATTTTTTTAATGTTCCTGCGACTTTCCGGGCTCTGTATCTGATTTCTGTGCATCCCCCTGCATGTGCGTGTGAATCTGCAGATCCCTCCGTGCCTGTGGCTTAGGTGTGTTAGTACATCTTTGCGTGGGTCCCTGTGTATCTGTGTCAACTCTAAGCGGGTGCCTTGTCTTCGTGTGCATTTCAACCCCTCTATTGTGTCAGGAGATTTTTCTGTATATATGTCTCCGTGTCACCCTTTGGTGCGTATGCCTGTGTCTGAATTTTTGGGTGATTTTGCGGCTGCTATTGTGCGTGTGCGTGTGTGTCTTTGTCTTTGTGTCTTTTTGTATTGCTTGATCCCTTTGTGTGTCTGTATTGCCCAGGATGGGTAAGTAGATGAGTCGCTTGCTTCACACTCCCTTCCTCTCCTGTCTTTGCCTAGCCTGGGAAACCTGGGGCTTCAGCCTCGAGGTTGGGCCTGGGCCTCCTCCTCTGGGCATCTGGGCCGGGGCCGTGGCGACCGAAAGAAGCCAGGTTTGCAAGGATTCTGCATGCTGCGTCGGGAAGCGCTGAGCCCCGGGGCCGGCGCCGGACGGACCGGGCGCGTCCTGCCCTCTGCTGGCCACGGTGCATCCTTGCAGCCGCTGCTGGGCGACCGCCTGTAGGGAAGAGTCCTTGTTCCAGGCGCAGATCGTCGTCTTCTCCTTCAGGATACAAGGGAAATCTTTCCCCGTCACAGGCCCTGCTGCAGCGTACCATCCCGCTCCTCCGGTCTCCCACTGCCCACCTTCCCTGTGCTCGGCCTCTTCCTCTGCAAATCTTTCTTTCCTCCACCTCGACTGAATGGGATTCCCTTTGGTCCGGCTTCCGAGGCTCCCCTGAGTGGTGTCCAGGCCCGAGTCTTGGTCGTTGATTGAGTCCCGGGGGCGTTCCTGAGGCGCCCTCGGGCTGTCTGCGTGCTGCAGGAGGTCGCACCAGCAGCCCCCGCTCAGTGCCACCGCTGTTGTGTTCTGAGGCACATAAGATTCCATGATATCTCTCCCCAGCCCCCGTTTGAGTCACCGCTCATGCCAGCAGGGTTGACCTGAGACAGCCTGCGGATCCACCGCGGAGCCCGCGGCTGGGTCGCGGTGCTCGCAGGGACAGTGGAGCCCGGTTACCTTCTCTGTTCCGGGTTGGGGTGCTCTACCTACAACCGGGATCCCCTCTGCCGGGCTCCCCCGTCACACTCCACCGCCTCCAATTCCCCACAGGCCTGTTCCTTGACCTATGTCCACGCTGCCCGGGTCCCAGTCCTCCCAGCGGAGTCGGAGTCCCGGATCTTTCGCACTCAGCCACGCAGAGTGCTCTTCTGGGCATCATCAGAGCTCCTACGCCTCCTCACCGCTGCCCCTGTGGAAGAATAAGCGACTGGACGGGAGGGCAGGGGCCTAGGCCTCCTTAGGCCCCACCTGAGCCGTGAATGCTTTGCGCAACTGCGGATTCCACCAGGCGCCCGGGGCCCCAGGACGCCGGCGGCAACCGCTGTGCCTGCGTCTTCCGACCCGGGATATTCTTTGACTCAGCGGCAGAAACAGGTCGGGATTATCTCCATGAGAGGAGAGGAAAGGCTAAATCGGCAACTCACGGTTGCTTAGAAGAAGCAAGAAGAGCAAGAAAAGCCCTGAAGCTCTGGCACAGGCAGGGTTCCTGGCTCTCCCGAATCCTGTGGCACCACTGAGCCCTGCCCCGTGCCCCCTTGCTGTTAGGATCCTGAACCTCTTCTCCACGACCTGCCTCCCAGGAGCTTCGTCCAGGTCCGTCCTCCCCCGTGAAGCCTCCACTATCCTGCTGTCTTGCTGTCTTGCAGATCTTCTCCAGACAGTTTCTGGTGTCTGACCAGAACTGGAGCAGAGAGTAGTACCCTCCCAATTTACAGCTCTGGCTGGACGGGCAGATAGGGCCGTACTGGGGCTCCTTAGGGCTCAGGGCAGAGCCTGACTTGGGTGCCTGAGCAGGAAGCAGCCAACCAGGAGCTCTGGGCCTCAGTGGCTCTGCTCTTGGGAGAGGAAGGGTCAGGGAGCTGCTTGGGACCATTGGCTCTGGCCAGCCTCAGACCTGCCAGAGGAGACCACACCGGACCAGAGCCCCGCCAAGTCTCCGGCCAGGTTAGGGACTGCTATTGCTGGGACTCAGCCGTCAGCCAGGAAGACTCCAAAAGTGCAGCAAGGCCTGGCGCGGCAGGGTGCTAGCAGCAACCGCATTCCCTCCGTAGATCCCACCCGTGTCTGATGCAGGACTCCTGGGCCAAAAGGTTGCACAATCATAAAGCAACAGGTCACTCTTCCACTACCCAGCGTGTCTGTGGTCTCCCTGTGTGGTAGGGAGCCCCAGTGCCCAGGTGGAGACCCACAGAGAGGAGAAACTGGGGAGGAGGTCCCAGCTGGGTGTTTTCTGACTTTGGCTGACTTTGGGAACTGGTTCTCTCTCTTTGCTCTAGAGTTTTGCGGGCTGGTGGGGGAGGGAGAGGTGGCAGAGAGATACGGATTTTCTGGTGAGGCAGGATGGGCTCTGAGGCTGTGAGCTAGTGTGTGCCTGTGTCCACTGTGGGCTCCAGCAAGCGTCACCAAGTCCCTGTGTGCTCCCCACAGGGCCCTCTCTGCCCACGGACCCACAACTCTTTTTTTATTTTTTTGGTACTGGGAATTGAACTCAGGACCTCACGCTTGCCAGGTAGGTATTGTGCCACTGAGCTAAATTTCAGACCCACAACTCTTTAGTGCAAGATCTGGGCGGTTAGTCTTGGGGTACAGTAGGGGTGTCAGGAGTTGTGTCCTCAGGTTCAAAGGCTACTGTCCACCCTTAGAACTGGTCAGCGCTGGGAAAGGGACAGTGCCGGGATGGGTAGTACAGGCCTGAGGTTTCCTACTGGCGAGGCAGTGGGTAGGAGTGCTCAAAAGTGGATCTCAGGGATTCCCCCACATCTGGCTAAGTTATGTGGCTTTGGGACCTTCAAAAAGCCCTGCAGCTCTGGACTTCTATGTCCTTGT